ATATATATATATATATATATATATATATATATACAGTATATATAACTTATCTACTATTTAAGGTTCTTCTTCTGCTCCTTCTTCTTCTGAGACTAAATTTGATCTCCTCCTAGAGTTTTCAAGCTTTAACCACCAAAGTCGGGTCAGACCTTGAGACTGGTATGATTCAGGTTGCTGATCTGACTTACGGTTTACCTAAAAATGATGATCAAAACTGCAAAACATCCCACTGGTTTTCATACTTTTATCTCCGGTTTCACAGACAAGGCTTAAGCCTAGTCCCAGTCTAAAATGCATGTCTAAAAGAATCTTGCACTGATTTTTTCTCAAGATGCACACGAGTAATGTTATTTTCTAAGGCATGTTTATAAAAGATACTTGTCCTAATTGAACTATGGCCTAATCCTAGCTTAACCTAAGCCCTGTCTGTGAAATCAGGCCTTGTATATCACTATCATGTTAGCATTGTGCTAAATCATGCTAGCAACATGTTAAATTATGTTAACATTTTAAATCAAGTTATCAACATGTTAATTCATGCTAGCAACATGCTAAATAATGTTAAAACATGTTAACAATGTGTTAAATTATGCTAGCAGCATGTTAAATCATGTTATCAACGTGCTAAATCAAGCTAGCAACATGTTAATTCATGATATCAACGTGCTAAATCATGCTAGCAACATGTAAATTCATGCTAGCAATGTGTTAAATCATGCTAGCAACATGCTTAATCACGTTAAAACATGTTTGCAATGTGTTAAATCATGGTAGCAACATGATAAATAATGCTAAAAACATGCTAAAACGTTAAACATGTTAGCAATGTGCAAAATCATGCTAGCAACATGCTAATGTCATGTAAATCATGCTAGCAAAATGCTAAAATGTGTTAGCAACATCTTAAAACATTCTAGCAATGTGCTAATCATGCTAATTTTCGAACTTCAAGCTTTTCAAAGTTATTTCAAACTTTTAAACAAGGCTTTGCCAAGCCAACATCAAAGTTTGTTTACAAACTTTACTCATCTAGTTAAGTCTATCATCCTGTTAGATTTAATGAATCTGCAATGTCAGGAGGGGCAACCTTTATTTTCATGTCAACCTGTGTTCTTGTGAAGCTATGCCTTGCTGAATACCACTGGACTTTTCTGATAAAATAGTAAGTTGTTCTCACCTGTAAGTGGGTCTCTAACCAGGTTGAAGATGGTACCAGGTTTGTCATCAATGTTGAAGCACAGAGCATTGTTTTTATCTGGCAGCTCAATGATGAAGTGTGGATCTCCATCAACTGTTACATTGGCAAATTGTAAGAACAGCACTGCTGATGTGACTTATAAAGCGTTACCTACATTTCACATTGCCAGTGCATAGATTTTTACATTTACCATAATATGTGGGTGCATAGTTCCCGGTGGGGTAGCTGGCTGCTACGGCTGTGTAACCTGCAAATAAGACAAATATGAAAAAAGTAAATGAAACTCTCATTCACATTACGTTAAGTCGTGACGTATCAAATACTGTTCCCAGGTCCAAATCTCTGCTCTGCTTCAAGTAGGAATACAACCTCAACAGCCGTTCATGAGCACTAATCATTTATAGAGCACTTTAAGCTAAGCTTTTAAAAAATTACCATGTCCTCTACAGTCTCCTTGGGTCATGGCGTCAAGGACATTAGTATTTTAACGGTATAAAAAGTTAATCACTGTCACTGTCAACTACGATTTTGTTATGAAGATAAAGATTGGGATCATGAGTTTTGGTAGTAGTACAGCACATTGTTCACGTATTTGCACAATTTATTGTTTGCTTTTGGATCTTAGGAGTGGAAACTGGGACTCGTGACGTCACACTTTAACAACCAGATTAATACGTGCTAGTGTAACGGCTTACCGTATTTTTGAAACATTTCTCGTTCCTCTGTGAATCAATGTTGAGAAAAGAGTGAGTGTCATATAACCAGTTAAACAGTTACAAATTCATGGAGAACACCATGTCACAAGTTTTTTTTTTTTTTTTTTTAATGCGCCATATCCATGAGTTCTTGTAAACTTCTGCTTGCTATTTGACAGTTTAGTCATACCTTTAGTCAGCTTGTCAGCAATAAACATGCCTTTTTTGGTCTCATCTTCAGGTTTAGTGAAGACCGTGGAGGTAAGCGGTGGAACAAAATTGTACTTTAACGAAAGGCACAGAGCTTCATCAGTGGCATTTCCTTTCTCCTCTGGTGTACCCTTGTCTCTGTTGGAAAATATTTTTGTATTGTAATTTGATTTGATTCAAATCTTCTGCTTCTGCTTAAAATATTACGAATGAATTCAGACCCAATTAAAATCGGTAAAGTTAATGCAGACAAATTACATTCATACTAGTCATTTTTACATTGAATTAAACTATGTAGAGGACTATTTATCCTTGAGAGTTTTAGGTTAGTGTGCTAAAGATTACGCTTTTTCAAACAGACTTATCCAAGAGCAGGATTTTCTTATCCACGTCTGAGAGTAGAGGACTTCTTCATAAAATCCCTTGGTAACAAATTATTAGCAAACCATTAACAGTATTTTCTTGAAAGTCAGCTTTGCTAATAAGGTCAACATCTTATCAACATTTAAAGTATTATCACAATTGCATAGATTGAAACTAGGGTTGGGTATCGATGCACATTTCTCAATTCCATTCCAATTTTGATTTTATTTAAATCCAAACATTTAATTTAATGTAATCATTTCATTTGGAAGCTTGTTTCTACCATGGGTTAAAAAAAAAAAAAAAAACGTAATTGCTTTTTATCTCACAATTTGGACTTTTTTTCTCTCAATTGTGAGGAAAAAAGTTGTGAGATGTAAACTCGCAGTTGGAAGTCTATAACTTTTTTTTCTCCAAATTGTGAGGGGAAAAAAGTCACAATTGCGTTTGTTATTTTTTCTTTTTATCCCACGGCTGAAACAGGCTTCTATATATTTGTCCACTTAGTTTTTTGTAATTATCTGTCAGCTATTTTGTAAATTATTCAGGAACCCTCTTACTTGGTATATTACAAAATAATTAAACATGAATTTACTTTATTAATTTACATTAATTTTAAATACACTAATTAGTTAAAAAAACCAAATTAACAACAGGGTCCAAACTGTACAGTTCAAAGGCTATTTATTTAACAGATACATTACCAAAACATAAAGTTATGTCAGTACAAACTGATATATGTACATTTTTAATATATAATTAATAATAATAATAATAATAATAATAATAATAATAATATTAGTAATATGCATTGCTAAGAACTTCATTTGGACAACTTTAAAGGCGATTTTCTCAATATTTAGATTTTTTTTGCACCCTCAGATTCCAGATTTTCAAATAGTTGTATCTCGGCCAAATATTGTCCTATCCTAACAAACCATACATCAATGGAAAGCTTATTTATTCGTTATATATATATTCATTATATTATATTTCGGAAGATGTGTAAATCTCAATTTCGAAAAATTGACCCTTATGACTGGTTTTGTGGTCCAGGGTCACATATATTAAAATATTTTGTAACAGAAAGTATTGATAACATTAAATATCTTCAAATTTTGAAAAACTGACGTTGAGATTGCATGAAGATGTAGCAATAATTGGGGAAAAATTACTTTTTTATACTTTTTTATATTACAAGGAATCAATATTTTTGCTACCTTTAGCTGAAGTGGAGCATATGAGTCCTCATAAATCCTGCAAACCAGGCCATTGTTCTGCTTGCTCAAAAATCCATAGTTTGCATCGTTACCGAAGGCCAAACTAAACAGAGTGATATTCCCATCAATGGCATCACGAATACTGTCTTGGAACTCAGGAAGAGTTCTCGGATCTAAAAATGAATGATTTATTATTCCACCACAGAAACAACAAAAAGTACAATGGCCATAAATAACTGATTGATTAATCTAGTCTGCTCTTGAGCAAACCTTTCAGGGTTCTCACTGGTGTTCTTTAATAATATAATGGAAATGACACTAGGGCTGTTTCCTGTATGTTTCTTTAGGGGTACTCCTAGGCAATGTTGTTCCTCAAATCATGAAACAGTAAGGATGTCGGTATGCATATACATACACTTGTTTGGTTCCCCATCAGTCAGCAAAATGATCATCAGTACCATGTTCTTTGGGGCTGTACCGTTACGCTGCTCTTCATACAGCATCTTCCCACCATGTATGACAGCATCAGCAATTCAGTATCTGAAAGAAAAACAAAAGTGCTCATGTCACAATTTTTTTGTATTTGATTATTGATACATTAAAAAAAGTTATTTTGTCATAACTTTATAGTAAACACGCTTTGTCTGCTTAATATAAACTACATTGAGTGACTTTATCTGTGCTCATTACAAAGGCAGTTTTAGGGATTTTCACCAGTTTTTAAAGGAGAAATTCATGTGCTTTAACAAAAATGCAAGCTTACTGTAAATTTCTGCTTTTAACACTCAGTGTGCCCCTTCTTAGCCACTGTGCATTGTACTGTTTTGCTTTATATAATGTTTCCATGTGGATTGCATACAATTCAATGGCATCACGAATACTGTCTTGGAACTCAGGAAGAGTTCTCGGATCTAAAAATGAATACGATTTATTATTCCACCACAGAAACAACAAAAAGTACAATGGCCATAAATAACTGATTGATTAATCTAGTCTGCTCTTGAGCAAACCTTTCAGGGTTCTCACTGGTGTTCTTTAATAATATAATGGAAATGACACTAGGGCTGTTTCCTGTATGTTTCTTTAGGGGTACTCCTAGGCAATGTTGTTCCTCAAATCATGAAACAGTAAGGATGTCGGTATGCATAAACATACACCTGTTTGGTTCCCCATCAGTCAGCAAAATGATCATCAGTACCATGTTCTTTGGGGCTGTACCGTTACGCTGCTCTTCATACAGCATCTTCCCACCATGTATGACAGCATCAGCAATTCAGTATCTGAAAGAAAAACAAAAGTGCTCATGTCACAATTTTTTTGTATTTGATTATTGATACATTAAAAAAAGTTATTTTGTCATAACTTTATAGTAAACACGCTTTGTCTGCTTAATATAAACTACATTGAGTGACTTTATCTGTGCTCATTACAAAGGCAGGTTTAGGGATTTTCACCAGTTTTTAAAGGAGGAATTCATGTGCTTTAACAAAAATGCAAGCTTACTGTAAATTTCTGCTTTTAACACTCAGTTTGCCCCTTCTTAGCCACTGTGCATTGTACTGTTTTGATTTATATAATGTTTCCATGTGGATTGCATACAATTAATCATTTATAATTTGTTCAGTGATAACTTCCTTGTATATTTCGTATTCATACTTACTACCAATCACTTTAATTGTTTTGACATATTCCTGGGCTGCTTTCACATTTTCCTGTGTTGCTTTGCTTAAATGTGGCCGCCATTCAACAAAGCTGGTTAAAAATACGAAATGCGCAATGCGCAAAGTGTCCGTTCACAATCTGTAGATGGTACATATATTATTTATAGCTTTATAGTTTATTTTTATTTATTGGAAAAGCACAAAGAGTAAAGGAAATAGAAGGTAGAATGGATGAACAAATTCAAACGTTAACATATCAGAGCATGTGTGTTAAGCAGCAGGCCACAGAAAAGTATTCTTTTCATTTGTCCATTTTACGTTATTTCATGCGTGTCTTTATCATCCTAATGATATGACTGGGGAAGGCCTGAACAAAGGATCAAATTATTATCATTATCACCATTATTATTGACTAATGGAGATCCTTCTTAGTTACTAGCATTATTTAGTATACTGATAATGCTTTATACTGGTATAAATTGGTATCCATCCATGCAAAGATATTTGAATCGTCACCTTCTTGTCAGTGACAGTTTTCTTCACTAGAGAGAGCAGTTCATTGGTGATGAATGTACCGAATGCCTCCAAAAATGCAATTCCCTGAGGTTCATAAATATCTGCTACAATCTGTGGATAAGAGACACGACTGATTATGGTTATTTTATTTACTTTTTTTTTTTTGCATTTAATATGCATAATATGAATTCAAGTTAACAAGTGATTCATTGTTTAAATAAGAGGTGTTCACAGTATTAGAGGAATTATTACTATTAAAAATTCTTAATATTGTCTTTAGTATATTTGTATTGTGTTTTAACAGTGACATGCATTATAGATCTACAGGTGCATGTCAATCAGAAAAAGGAGATTCGAGATCGGTCTGTAATTAACTAGTTCTTTGGGGTCAAGTTTTTTTTTTTTTTATGAGAGGCTTAATAACAGCCAGTTTGAAGGTTTTGGGGACATATCCTAATAACAATGATGAATTAATAATAGTCAGAAGAGGATCTATGACTTCTGAAAGCACTTCTTTTAGGAGCTTAGATGGAATAGGGTCTAACAGACATGTTGTTGCTTTAGATGATTTAACAAGTTTATACTTTGTTTTATTCTAAAAGAGAAGAAAAGTAATCAGATCTAGCAGTTTTTAATGCTTTTCTGTAGGATAGGTTACTTATTGGTCTTATGAAGTATTATAAGTTGTTGAGATAGTGAATTGGTGGGTTTTTGTTAAATGTGAGCCAAAATCATCACAATTAAAAGAACCAAAGACTTAAACTACTTCAGTCTGTGTGCACTGAATTTATTTAATACACGAGTTTCACAATTTGAGTTGAATTACTGAAATAAATGAACTTTTCCACGACATTCTAATTTATTGAGATGCACCTGTATATAATCATATAGATAGGTGGGTTGTTGACAAATAACATGTCCATGAACATTGCAATTTTTTACATTTTGAAAGGAATAGTTCACCCAAAAATGAAAATTTGCTGAAAATTGTCATCCTCAGATCAGTTTGTTTCTTTATCAGAACAGATTTGGAGAAATTCAGCATACATCACTTGCTCACCAACGGATCCTCTGCAGTGAATGGGTGCAGTCAGAATGCAAGTTCAAACAGGTGAAACATCACAATAATCCACTCGATTCCAGTCCATTAATTAACGTATTGTGAAGCGAAAAGCTGCATGTTTCTAATAAACAAATCCATCAAGACGTTTTTAACTTCAAACCATTGCTTCTGGCTAAAATACGAGGCTTCTATCCATAATATTGCTTTCTCAAGTGTATCAACTGTTTGAACTATCGTTCTGACGGCACCCATTCACTACAGAGAATCCATAGGTAAGCAAATGATGTAATGCTGAATTTTTCTGAATCTGTTCTGAGAAAGAAACAAACTCATCTACATCATGGATGGCCTGACAGTGAGTAAATTGTTCATTTTTGGGGGAATTATTCCTTTACCATAAAGATTTTAAGTTAAAATATTAATGTAAAAATGTAAAACACCACCATTAGTTTTTCACCTTTTTGCAGTACACTAAAATTATACCATGTGGCTTCTCAATTATGATGTTATAAAATCTGTTGTGGTTGATAATGAACCTCAAAGTGCTGGACCAGCTGTTTGGGTTTGACTCTGATCATGAGCTCATATTTGCCAAAATGTCGCTGAAGAAGTTCCTCATGGGTGAGAATAAATTTGACACTGCTGTTTGCTGCAACATTCACAGAAACAGAAAACTTCTCCATTTTTCTACCTGAAGCCCTGGAACACCAAACCCAAGTTACTTAGTAGTATATTAGCAACAAGCAGTTTAAAGTTCACGATGACTTCCTGTTTTCCTCTTCTCACTTGACTAAACCAGCAGTCTGGCCAGATGACACAGCCTTCTGATACTGCTGCTTGGCCTTCTCTTTTTCCTTCACCACACCTGTGTATGTCTTGCCACCAATCTCCCTGAAAATCCCAAAACTGTGTCAGAACACATTTCAGTAATTTCCCAAACTGCAAGCATATTTTACACTGAAAAGCAGTGGATTATTTTGGCTTGTGCGGAGTTCCTCTGATTTTAAACTAAATCAGATGGAAAAGAGCTGACATGCTGAAGTTGGTGATGAAGGAGGTCTTGGGCTCGACACGGGAAAACCACCGCCGCTGAAGCGCCGTACCACCAGCACGAGAGCCCACGAAGAGCGTGCTTGACTGTAGTTTTTTCTTCTCTACGTAGAAGGTCAGGAGCAGAACGATAGAACCGCTCGGCTCCGAAGCGAAAAGCTGAATATGCGCTGCATCTGCTGCCTACTTATACTCACGCTGTGATCAGCAGCAGCTGGATGCAATAATCGCATGCCAATGTGCATTGGCTCGTTTAGTTTACACTCGAAGTAGATTGGTCTCTCTAAGTAGAGATCCCAATTCGTCGGTCATCCGACGTGACGTCGGGAGTGACCGACTGAAAAGGAACGAATCGTTCAAGAATGACCCAACACTACTCTGCTTTAGAGAAGAGGAAGAGAAAACTAGAGGTGCACGTAAAAATCTGTTCATATATGAATCGCGATTCTGTCTTCTAACGATTCTAATGGATTCATAAGTTTCAAAATCAATGTTCAAAAGCAGCAGTTCTCAATCCTGTTCCTCGTAAAAAACGAAGCATTAACACATGTTAGACATGTGAGTCAATGTTTCATTAATAAAGTCAGTGGTCACTTGCTTTGTTCTTGAATGAATCAGCCAGTTTGGACAAATCGTTTGAACAAATGATTCTGTGATGACTTTCCACCATCAATTGGCAATTTTAGTTTATATATAATATAATTTCATTTTTCTCAACATTTCATGGCTATATTCAAAATGATATTTAGAACATTAATCTCAACATTATGCAGTTGTAATTGCAATATAAATAGGTTTTGAAAAATGCAAGATACTGATTTAATTTTAATGGTATAACAGCCTCATAGTGTGTAGTGTTAATTGGTGTAATTAATTAAAAGTTTAACTTTATGTTTATGAATAATAATGAGAGGTCTGCCTTTTTTCACTTGAATACCTGCCCCCAAAATATCTGTGCATGGCCCTGACTGTACAGATAAATCTATGATGGATATTTTCCCATTTTTGACACTGTATTGACAATTAAGATATACTGTAGCTCAGAATGTTAGCCACTTAATTAGTGCAGAAAAACAAAGGTGAATGACAAAACCAGACCTACCCATTGCTCATTTCCCTTTGAGACGACCAGGGTCTCAAAAGATCCTGAAGAAAAACACACACACACCCAAACAAGCAGAATATCCTGCAGACATGGTGCACTGTCTATTCTATCACATTCAGGACTTTTGAACACTCTAAAACCACTGTGTACACTTTGTACCAGAGCAAATAGTTCTTTGAGTGGGAGTGGGGATTTGTGATCTTTGTTCCTAAATTCTTGATCGTATGAGTGCAGTGCTGAACATACGCACCATAGTACAGTAATTTTGTGTAGATATTGTTCTTGCTCAAGCTATTTTTTTCCCTCAGTGATTTACTGAGTGTTATCATGTTGGTCTTTGGATGTAAATATGGAATAAAAATAAATCGGCATTGTTTATCTTTTTGATCTCTCATTCAAAAAATTCACAAAATTCTAACCTTTCATTGAAGTAAAACAATTGAAAGTGGGGAGGGTTGGGGGGCTAACATTATGAAATAAATGTTTTTCTCCAATGCATGTTGGTCACAATTATTGGCCAAATTCCCTTAATCATCCATCACAAGGAGTAAAACCTAAGAATATAGTTCTGATGTGCAGAACAAGATTGTTGAGCTTCACAAAATAGAAAATGGCTGTAAGAAAATAGCCAAAGCATTGAAAATCCACATTTCCACCATCAGGGTAATAATTAAGAAGTTCCAATCAACTAAAGATGATACAAATCTGCCTGGAAGAGGATGTGTGTCTATATCGACCTAATGCACGGTGAGGAGGAGAGTTTGAGTAGCTAAAGGCTCTCCAAGGATCACAGCTGGAGAATCGCAGAGATTGGTTGAGTCTTAGGGTCAGAAAGCCTAAAAAATATATGAATAAATATCAAACAGCCCCTACATCACCACATGTTGTTCGGGAGGGTTTCAAGAAAAAAAAAACTCCAGCATATTCAGTTGTCAGACACGACTGGAACTTCAAACGGGACTGGCTTCTATAGTCAGATGAAACTAAAAAAAAAGCTTTTTGGCAGCAAACCTACCAGATGAGTTTGGTGCAAACAGGGATAAAAAGTACCCCATGCCCACGGTTAAATATACTGCTGGATCTTTAATGTTGTGGGCCTATTTTTCTGCCGGAGGTCCTGGACAGCTTGTTCATACGGCATCATGGATTCTATCAAATACCAACAGATAAAAAATCAAAACCTGACTGCCTCTGTTAAAAATATTATAATGGGACGTGGTTGGATCTTCCATCAGGACAATGATCCAAAACAAACATCAAAATCAACCAAAAAAAGCTGGGAATCTGAAGGATCTGGAGTGATTCTGTATGAAGGAATGGTCTCTGATCTCTTGTCAGCTGTTCTCCAAACTCATCAGGCATTATAGGAGAAAACTCTGTTAAAGAGCTGTTATCTTGGGAAAAGGATGTTGCAATAATTGGGTGCCAATATTTGTGGCCAACGTGAACTAGAGAAAAACATTTAATTCATAATGAGATTCCCCCCCCCACTGTTATACTTCAATGAAAGATTAGAATTTTGTGATTTTTTTGGAATGAAAGATCAAAAGGATAAATTATTTTCATTTTCAATTATTTTGCTCATATTTCCAAGGGTGCCAATTAGTGGATTAGTGTACGTAAAACAAAAACAAAAAACTACTATCAGCTTTGTCAGATATTGCATTATATCCAAATAAAACCATCACATCTTATTTACTTAAGACTACATGAAAGCTAACATTTACTTTGTGTGTAGTGCAAAGGTCGGTTGAGCGACAGATGTTTTCTATATTGTTTTGAAGAGACCAGAAATGATGTAGTCTGTGTGAACTCCATCAAGGAGCCCAGTGCCGTTATTGTGAATGAACCAACAGGGCACATTTTCTCCATTCTTCACGTCCTGTCTGAAATCTCTCTTCCAGCCCCTGGAGTCATGTGGGATTGAATGAAAATCTGAATGAATTTTCTGTCTCTCTTGAGGTGTGAATTCAACAATGCATTTTTTTGTTGCATTTTCATTCACCTGGTAACCGTGAGCTTGTTTCCTTTCACAAACATGTTGGCATCTTGTTTATCAGGGTCCTTTCCTGGAAACAAGTCACTGACCTCAAAGTTCACGCCGTGGTAGAACTGACCTGCAGTAAAAAATAGAGTCCAAAGAAAGCTGTTGTTAAAGAGATGAAAAAACCCTCAGGCTATCACATTTTTTTCTGCACTTAATTGGCTGAGTGTGGAATGTTGGACTCTTAATGCACTGTAGGAGCTTTACTTTCAAACTTTACAACTCACCCAATTTCAGACTCTTATTCTGGATGACAAAATAACCTTATAAATTCATGCACTAGACCAGGGATCTTCAACCCTGCTCTTGGAGAGCAACCGTCCTGCAGACACCAGTTCCAACCCTGCTCCAACACACTGCCTGTAATTATCAAGTAACTGTCCAAGGTGTAGAACCCGAGGTAGTCTTGATGATATGGGTGCTTCTGCCATATTTTGTGCAGTATAATAAGAAACTTGACTGAGTTCCTTAAGGTCACTGTTAAACTGAGATCTTTGATCACCTGCAGATCCATGCTGGAGAAAGCAAAAGATGGAGGATTGTGCTCAAAATTGAACTCTCATAGAAGAATAATTAATGCCAACATGAAAATTCTGCCATATTTTTTTTTCTGAACCCATAAGCTGTTGTTTTTTTTTGTTCATTTTAGTTTAAAACTTTCAGGGAACAATCACTTAAGCACTGTTTAATATATAATGTAAATGTATTTCTTTCACTTACTTCAGTCCTTCTAAAGTCTTGTTGTTAATCCAGGAGAATTTTGCCTGTTTTTCGTTTTCAGACACTGAGATCTCCTTTGTGCTCACCATCAATCTGACACCAAACTTCTCATGAACAATCCCAAAGCGCCCGAAATAGGTGTGTATCTTGTTTCCTGGGATGACCTTCTTATCTCCAATGATCTGGCCATTCACTACAATGCCTGAATACGATTATATATGAGAAGACAGAGAATAAACCTAGTTACAATTACCCACATCTAAAACAAAATTCTTGTTTTTTTGACAGAATGAATCACCTGTAAGTGGGTCTCTAACCAGGTTGAAGATGGTACCAGGTTTGTCATCAATGTTGAAACACAGAGCATCGTTCTGGTCTGGCAGCTCAATGATGAAGTGTGGATCTCCATCAACTGCAAGAGACAAACTCATGAGTAACATGTAAGATATTTTTCTTTACTGTAAGATTTCTCTTTAAAATGTACAAAAAATAACATAACTTCTCACCAAAATATGAAGATAATATCTTGGTTTTTAGTGTTTGGATTGGGTGAGCACTGCCAGTCAATTGAGGTGGAGCGTAGAAGGCACTTATATCTTCAAGTAGTTGTGAGATAGAGATATAGAGTGCTTATTCCAGATATTTTGTAACACAAGTAAGATAAGCTACTTCGTAATGTTCACAATGATGGTGTACCAGTCAAATTCCTCTTACCAAGTTCTGTTGTGTCTTCTCGCTGCTCTGTGAATCAAAAGAACACCACCCAGTGTTAATGTGTCACATTAGCACCTCCTCAATAAATTGTTGCTTCAGTCAGTCACATTTTTGGGCCATCAGCATTGTAATTTTAATATTCAAGCCCAAAGAACTCCTCATTTCAATATTGCCTTTTCCATCGAATTGCACATCAATTGTATTTTCATTGGCTTCTACAAAATACAACGGAAGTGGAGTTCAACATCTGGGAGTTGGAGATGGTTTTTATCAGTCCACAAGGAAACAATGGTAGGGTTACAAGGTACTAGGCTGATTGTAGGTTCTAAGAAGAACTAGTTTCTGAATTTGTTGAAGTTGGTGACCCTAGTAGAAAAATCTATGCCATACTTTATTTAAAATTCATTTATTTCATACCAAGTATACAGTACTTCAATCCATTACCATATGTATTGACAAGACTTTAATGATATAAAATTATAATGAAACTATATTTGAAGTATTTCTTTATTGCACAATGCACATTTCTTAATATTATGCCTAAAAATATGTTTTAATGCCACTCTTAATAAGGATATGATCTCTGTAAAATATCTGTCTTGAAATGCAAGATATTTAAAATGTGTACCTAAAGTATACTTGTAATAGTTCCACTTTAGCACAATCAAATATACTTAAGCATATCTTATTTGAAACTCAGCACTACTTCCGCACAATGAAAGTGCATAAAGCACAATATGAATTGTTTCAATTTAGAAGACTTTAAGTATACCAGTTTAATATACCAAAAGTACAATTGCAGAGTATTTTTATTAGGCACATGTAAATTAATTTTTAATATGCTTATCTCGAAAAAAATTTATTTCAAAAACATTTTAGTATATATAATAAAAAAAAAAACAAATTTTTTTTTTATTATTATTATTATTTTTTTCACTAGGATGAGATTTGTGGAGGGTACATCTGGAAATGATTGTGGCATCAATTTTTTATTTACATACCTGTAAACTGCATATACCAGTCAAAAGTTTAGAACAGCTCCATTTTCTGAATTAGAAAAAAAGGCTTACCTATAGGACATGAAGCACCGTCAATGGACTACTGCACTGGAAAAATGTCTTAGAGACTTAAAAAAAACAAAAACAAAAACAACAAACTCTTGTTGTTTATATGTTGTATGCTTTTTGTTTTTCAAAGTACCCTGAGACATTAAACGGCATAATTCAAATCCAAGGCTAAGTATTTCCCTGCATGGATTTTGCATTAGATTCAAGTTTGTTACACTTTGAACGCACCAATAAACCTGCTTAGTTAGGAAGTGACCTCTAACTTTTGCTTCATGAATCAGTACATTATTGATAATGGACCTCTGCTGCTGTTAAGTAAATTATGACAGACTTTTCATTTTTAGGGGTACAGTCTCTTTAAACTTCAAAAAAACTACAAGTACCTTCAGTCAGCTTGTCAGCAATGAGCGGTTCATCTTCAGTCTCTGGTTTGGTGACCACCATGGAGGTAAGAGGTGTGACAAAGTTATACCTTAGAGAAAGGTCTAGAGCTTCAGCTGTGATGTTCTCCTCGTCCTCTGGGGAGCATTTCTCTCTGTTAACAAATTTGATTGGACATTGTATTATTTCAGGCATTCTCAGGTAATAGCTGAATTATTGGAGCGCATGTTTGACCTTTTATCCAAGAGCTGCTGGATGGTCAGATATGCCCACAGTCGCTCTGTGAAATCCCCAAAGATGTACTCCTGATCAGGAAACACACTGTCCCACTCTTCAGCAATCGCTAGACCCTCGACCACAAACTGGTCTTCCAACTGAAATCAGGTGTATGGCACTAATGAAACATACATCCAAACATACATTCAAACAGATACTAATTCAGTAACTAATAGTTTGCTTCCCGTACCCTGTGTGCTGATACTTCAGTCTGAAAGGTGTTGGTCTCAAGTTCTTGTAGACGTCCTGCTACCACAATCTCAGAGCCCTTGAAGAATTGCCTAAAGTGACTTAGTGTCAAGTCAGTTACAGCATTGCCGGGATAATTGAGATTCACCTCTAAGAGAAGTGGGGTAGCCACCTCATCATAAAAACCCTGTAGAGATAGAAAATCATTTAAGACCTGGATGTAATCTGGATCAGGTTACATTTATTAAATGTACAGTATATTTTATTGTCAGAGGATACGTTTGCCAGCTCTACCTGTAGTTGAAGGGCAGCATCCGAGGCCTCATAGACTCTTCGAGCGAGTCCATCATTCTGCTTGGCCAACCTATCAAGAAGGCTGTAGTCCACATCATAGCCAAAGCCCAAACAAAAGAGACTCATGCTTCCATTAATAGCATTACGGACATTTTCTTGGATTTTGGAAAGATCTTGCTGGCCTTAAACACACATTATTCAGTGCAGATTAGTAAATCAATTTGGATTGTATAAAGCAGGAGTTTTCAAACTTGCTATTGCCATGGACCTACAATAAAATGATCCCCTTGTAAGGGATATCCTTCCTAAAATATAATGTCATTATATATTAAATATTAAACATGATTTTGTAAAGACACCTTGTTGTTTCCCAAATTTAAATAAGTAGCCTTTTTATTAGGGCTGGGAATTTCCATAGACACGCTGATTCGATAATATAACATTTAGCTGTCAATTCTATATGCTTTTTTAATGCATTTAGCATTTTATGCATATTGTTGATTTCTGTTTAACTACTTCACATTTTTAATTATATATATATATATATATATATATATATATATATATATTTTAAAATAAAATATATCTTAAATAAAT